CTTATCTGGTATGCTAAAAATGACTCTTCTATGGCTGTTAGAATTCTGTGTACATGTGCCACAACCATAAGAATCTTTGTTGGTTCTATTCACTGATGTTTTATAGGGAACTAGGACAGTGCTGGCAGATTGGGCACTGAGTGAATATTTATGGAAGAAAAGAACTGAAGGAACAAATCAGTCAGTCTCATACCAGCATTTAGGAGGTTGGTTTCATATTAAGAGAAACCACATTAAGAAAGCAAAAGATTACTCAAGGCAGTTTTTTTCCTTATTGTTACTGCGTAGCCAAACCTGACTTATAAATTAGCACTTTAATTCCATAAATATTGTTGTTTACTTATAACAAGTAAAATTAGTTTTGAAATGTTGCCACCGGTGAAGGTTTTCCCCTCCCAAATAAACATTTAAAATGTTTAAAATTATAAAGTTGGGATGATATTGCAGTTCTCGGGAATGTCTTTTCTAACATCACCCCCCACAGAAGTCACAGACTCCTAAAAAGGTCAACCTGGTCTTCTCTACCCTTTCACCAAGAACTTTTAAAAATTCTAATACTGCATCTTCAAGAGCTATATAAGAATAAGAGAAAGCTATTCCACTTTGCTTTTCCCCCTTGATATTTGTCTTGTTAACAAGAAAGAATTGGGCTCACTTTTTCATTCATTATTCCTGGGGGTTTTTGTTTGGTTGTTTGGTTTTGGTTTTTTGGAATTCTTTTGGGCCACGCCTGGCAATGTTCAGGGATTACTCCTGGCTCGATACTCAGGAATTACTCTTGGAGGCCATACGAAGATGCCGGGATTCAAATCTGGTTTAGGCACATGCAAGGCAAACACCTCACCTGCTATACTGTTGCCCTGGCCCTTCATCACTTCTCTTCACTCTTATATGCGACCGAAAGATATTTTGACATTTCTTTTGGATAGAGCTGCCGTTTTCCACTATTCTCAGAAAGTATCTGTCCTGTAGATATTTCAGGTGTTTTCACGCATATGTAGGACCCTTTCCAGCCCCTGGCATTCCTGGTCCTCAGCAATATTTCGCTCTTACTGACTTCTTTGATTCTTTATCCATAGTCAGTGAAGGCACGGTCGCCTGCCTCCTCTCTGCGCCCGCGCTCGCGTTGGCCTTTGCATCTGGGCTGAGCTGAGAACCTTTCCCCCCTTCCCTGAACCCCTAATGCTAGACTTAGAGTAAAAACTGCAGTTCTCGTTTGAAAAATAAGGTTTGTGGCTTTCAGGTTGAAGTTTCTATTTTCTGTTCTGATTCTAGATTATTTATTCTGCCCCTCAACTCTGTAACCTGAACAGTATATGCAAATACTTTTCTCTAGCTATGCTGAAATTTTTAGGTCATTAGGAGATCACAGATTCCTTTTGAGTCTGGAAATGGTTTAAGAACAGCAAAGACTTAAACTGTTTACATATTTGTATTAATTTTTAGCCAATTCAAGTTAAGATTTACAGTAAAATAGCAGTTGTACCAGGTCATTGGTAAAAAGACACAGCGGACCTTCAGAGACGCTAGTGAGTTGGAAGAGATGGATTTTGAGTTCATACATGGAAACTTCTCTTCAGTTGCAAGAATATGGAGTAAGGAATGTCATTCTGTTTAACCTGGCATTTCCCACGTTAATTTGAGCATAGAAACCCTTTTTCATATAAAGGAATGTTGTAACATGCTTTTGGAAATGCCAGTGGAAAGAAAGTAGACACTTCATTTCTAGTCCTGGTTCAGGCATTAATGTAGTCTATTCATTCAGCAAACATCTGTGAAATAACTACCTTGTGGCATCCACTATTAGAGATGCTGGTGATACGTTCAAGGAACAATCCAGACAAATGCCTCTGCTTCCCAGACGTATGATCTAGTCAGAGAATAAACTCAATCTGCAAGTAGGCTAGCTCAGACGTCCCAGACAGACATGGAATAGGACCAGGGCTTCTAACGTTGATTTGCAATTGGAAATGGACTCTAACCCTGATCAAGACACAGAACCTCTCTCCAGTCTGAAAAATGAAGAATTTGAATGGAAAGGTGTTAGAGGCCTTGCCACCGTTTAAGAAGCAAGTGTTCTATCAAACGGTGATACTACTGGGATATAAGCGTCTCACTGAGCTTTTATAAGTACCTTGGCAGGAATGTGTGGATAAGGGGGGCTGGAAAAATAGTACAGCAGATAGCATGCTTGCCTTGCATTCAGCCAGTCCGGGTTCAGTCACTGGCATCCTGTATGGTCCCCTGAGCACCATCAGGAGTAATTTCTGAGTGCAGAGCCAGGATTAAACTCTTCTGCTGAGTGTGGCCAATTTTTTTTTAAAAATTAATTAAATGAGTGGATGATGCTCTAAAACAAGTTTAAATCCGCTGTAATGCCTAGAAAAGAACATAACACTTATTTTAAATGAATAACACATGCACGAAACCCTTCTTGGCCCTATATTTCTTTCATCTAGTATCCTTAGTGGGGCTGGAGCGATAGCACAGCGGGTAGGGCGTTTGCCTTGCACGCAGCCAACATGGCCGACCCGAGTTCGATTCCTCCGCCCCTCTCGGAGAGCCCGGCAAGCTACCGAGAGTATTCGATATGCCAAACACAGTAACAACAAAGTCTCCAATGGAGACGTTACTGGGCCCGCTCGAGCAAATCAATGATCAACGGAAGGGCCTCGAGCTCGAGTATCCTTGGTCCAGTTTGAGACTCAGACCCTTCTGCCACAGAGGCATGAGAGTTCCTGAGCAGATGCTGGCCTGTCCGTTCGAGATAGCTGCAGCCCTACATCCCTATGTAAATAGAGGGCTGTGACTTGATGTGGAAATGACCTTTCCGACGGTATTCCACATGCCCAAGCTTGTATCTGAGAGTAATTAGAAGCTTTGACTTACACGTCTTGCTCTACAGTATTTATGTTAATTATAAATGTCTGAAAGTTTCTGAAACTTTTTCTCCAGAGCTTTTTATCGAAGACAGACTGGAGGTTGGGGAGGAGGGTTGTGGATTGTGATCCTTAAGCCTTTGATTTAAGGTCTCTCAGTTTTGGAATGAAAATGAAAATCTACAAATCTACATTGTCGGTTGCCCAGAACATGGTGGTAGAGTTTTATAGTCTTCATCTTAAATAAGAAACTATTTTGAATCATAGTCTCTTAATAGTTTAAAATTAATAGCTCATTCCTGAGACATTAGCTCAATTGTTCTTATATACCAGGAGTTCCTAAGAAAACAGATACCCCCCCCCCCTTAGGAATAACCCCACAGGATAAAGCTTGAAAGAGAAGCTGGAGCGATAGTTCAGTGGGTAGGGCACTTGCTTTGCACACGTCCGACCCGAATTCTATCCCAGGCACCCCATATGGTCCCCTGACTCCTGCCAGGAGTGGTCATGGTGCCAGGAATAAGTTCTGAGCATCCCCAGGTGTGGCCCAAAACCAAAAAGAAAAAGAGAGAGCTTGAAGGGGTACCATTAAGCTTGGGGCGTTCCTATCACATAAAGGTATGCCTATTCAAAATTGTTTCCAAATAAGGTGACAGAATTTCTTTTCCTTGGTGGGAAGCCCAGAGCCAGAAGCTGCCTGAGAGCCACTGACACTGTCATCTCATTTTCAGCTCTCTAGTGTGTTCCAGAGACGCAAAGGCCAGCTGAAGAAAATGCTTAACAGTTCTGGAAACAAGGACAGACTCCGATTTCACTCTCTGGACAAATTGATTCGGCTCTGTGTCAGAGAGAGAATGGAGACTCTCCGCCAATGCCTCAGAAACCCTAGCTCTGAGATGGCTTTCAATTAGATGGGCTGTGCTCTTCACCTGTTCCCGGGGGCTCAGAGCCTGTCTGGGGTCCCACTAGACACACAACTATACTTTTGTTCATATATTTGCTTCTTAAGAATTTATTTTGATATTGATTAAAAATAAATTTCTTGATAGGCACCATCTTCAAAAAAATTAGATACACTAAACCTTAAGTTCAGAGATACAAAAGTTGCTTGATGATATCTTGCCCTCAGACCTTTTATAGGAAGAGCCTGAGATGAGACTTTTACCTGTGCATGCGCTTGTGTGTGTGTGTGTGTGTGTGTGTGTGTATTTTGGCTTTGAGGCCACAACCAGTGTGTTGGAGACCACTCATGGTTTAGGGTTGCTCCCTGAGGTGCTAGGGATCTAACTCCAACCCTTTGAACCATCTCCCCAAACCCAAATGCGCTTAAATTGCTAACCGGAGTAGGCACCCCCAAAAGTATTACAATAACTCCTACTAAGTCTGATTGTGTATTTGCTAACTTTATGATTTCTAGAAGAAATTGTTGAAATTAATTTCCAGTTCTCTGTCTGACCAAATATACTTTAAACGTAGCCTCTATATACCTACTCGCTTTCAGTGTCTTCTGATTGGTATGTATAAATCTGGAATGAGTAGTTTTAAGTGACTTCATTCCAACTACAATGGGACTTTCCTTGCATTAAAGATACTCCTTTCCCCCCTATGTTTTTAATTTTCAGAAGTCAATGAGGTTATAATTCTCATACTTGTCTTAAGGGACCAAGCTGCTTCTGATCCAGTTTCCCAGTCACTATTCTTGGCATTGGTGGGGGGAGTTGAGGTTGTATTTGACTTTCAGTTGATACCATGAGCACCCTCCCACACTGAGTGTCCCCTGGGGTGCAATATTACCTTTTGTTGAGAACTGCTATTGAAATCACACATGACATGTACCTCTAAACACATCGGCAGGTACAAACTATGGGCTCTGTGTAATTTTTGTAATTCTTTTTTTGTAATTTGGTCACATCCTCTTCTGTTTAAGATCATGCTTTTTAATGGCCGTTGCCCTGGGGAATGATTTAGTCACCTAAATTATCTAAAGCTGTACCAAAGAGAGCCTGAATACGAAGTAATTTTCACCTGAAATGTAGATCACAGAATTTCTCATTTCTCATTTCTCATCATTCCATGCAGGTTTACAATCTGAGATATTTCTCTCATTTTCCTTCACTCTAGCTTGTCAAGATACCCAAAAATGATCCCTCCAATGAAGTGCACACCTTTAATTTCTACTTGTCAAATGTGGGTAAAGACAACCCTCAAGGCAGCTTTGACTGTATCCAGCAAACGTTCTCTAGGTAAGTACATCTCAAGGTACACGGAAGGGGCATCGTTATCTAAGAGTATTGCAAACAATTAAATATATAATAGTCATTTGACAACTATTTGTTGAATTGCCAAGCCTATGCATCTGAGAAATGCTGAGATTTACGTTTCTAGCAATACTTGTAATTGCTAGAAATGATGTTAGTCACTGTAGGGTACAGCCACCCATTTTAAAGGTTTCTACCCCCCAAGGAACTTTTAAGGTATAGATTTGCTACCTATGAAATATAATTCTTTTGGATTAAAAAGCAATTTGGAGGCCTTTAAAAAAATTTTTACGCACTGCATCCAAATAATATTTTTATAGTATATTCAAGTTAAAGTGGTGGGGGGGGGGGGGATTCGTGTCTTATCTGTATCCACCCATCTCTGCTGTGCAAGTTTTAAGATCAATTTTCCCCCTCCACATCTTTTATTTTGTAGCAGAAACAAAACTGAATATTAACCCCAGTCTGGTAGTCACTTCTATATTTAGCCCAAAAAAAAAAAAAAATGAGAAGGGCAGGGAATAGGAGAAGCAAGAATACACACCTCTCCGCCCTACCACCCTGGTTTACCTTGGAGCCCTTATCTACTTAGGTCCTTTTTGAAGAATATACTTATTGTTTGTCTTCTTTGCTGTGATGATTTCTGATTCAGGAATGGACCCACAAGTAAGAGTGTCTGCTCTGTCTTTGGATAAAGACAAGGCCTTGGAGGTGTCCCCCTCAAAATCTCCCCCCCACACACATACACATACGCTGGCTCCCCAAGGAGAGAGATCACTGACCTGGACCTTGGACTCTAGAGTGCCCAACGCCTGGCCATTTCTCTCTGCCATCCACACTGAACTTGAAGCTCTGCAGGCACTTGCCCGGTGCAGGGAGAGAAGAAAGGAAAATTGTGTTTCAAGGGGGTATTGGAGGCAGAGATATGGCCTATCAGCACTTCACTGAAAAACTTCTGAATTTCTCCTACGTAAGGAGGCATAGCCCGCTCTGTTTTAGCCCACTCTGCTTTTCCCCCGTGTGAATGTTCATTTTGCTTTCTAAACACTGCTCACCCCACGCAGACTTCTTGGTGTCAGTTGTAGATCATGTTATAGATCATACACACCTTTTCACAGTTTACCAGGCTAATCACTGACATCAGGGTGCTGCTTACACTTCAATAGATGAAGTAAAATAATATGTAAAATGTTGGTTCTCAGGACTGGAGAGCTGAGTCAGTGGACTGAGTCTTTACACTCAGGGAGCCCAGGTTCATTGCCCAGCATCATGTGGGCCCCCAGATCACTGGCCGCGGGGACAGCCCCTTGCACCAGGCTGGGAGTCGTCCCTGAGTAGCTGACAGTGTGGCCCCCAACAGAATAAAATGACACTTTCAGTTCTTCACCCCTTCTTATGGGCTCTGTAGCCACCTGGCTGGTGTCTGTCATGGTGGAGAGCAAAGGCAAAGCATTCTCACCATTCAGAAAGTTCTCTTGGGACAATATTGCAAAACAGTTATAGAGTCAGTAGGTAGGCGATCTTGGTGATTGTATATAGTTCAACTCTTTCACTTCACAGGTGGCTCACCCAGAATGATGTGCCCGATCACTTAGTGAGATCCCCGCCCCCAAACTCCCAGGTACTGATCTCTATACACCACAGGGCACACTGACTCCTGGTTGTGGTGCCAGCACCCCATGTGTACCCTGGCACCTCATGGGAACTGTATTCAGGGACTCCTCCTCTTACATCACGAACGGTCTCCATGGTGATGCCTACTTTGATATTTGGAGAGACCTAAGGTCACTTACAAACTCTACATGATACAGAGAGAGAAAAGGAACAGTTGTGGGAGGAAAACTAGGGCAGATGCATTCGAATGAACCAGCTCCGCTTCATAATAGTATCATCCAACTTGCTCTGTGTAACGTTCTTTTATAGGCCTGAATTAAAAGTAGCAGTTTTACACAAGCGCACTCAAACTTTCGGTTTTCAACCTGGCAAGTATATTGTTTCAGAACTGGTTCTTCCCTTTCTATTTAAATTTTAACTTTTTCCTATTGATCTCATCTCTCCTGAGAAATGTTGTCAAGACCAAAAGTTTTCTTTCTTTTTTTTTTTCAATTTTTTCTTTAATTGACTCCCTATGAGACGGAGCATTACAAAGCTGTTTGTGATTGATTTTCAGTCATACAATGTTCCAACACCCATCCCTCCATCAGTGTATATTTTTCAGCACCAGTGTCCCCATTTTCTTTCCAATTCCCCCCATCACCATACTACCATCACAGCAAAAACTTTCTTAACAGTGTCCCTTTCCTAGGGATAAGGTCCTTTTTCTCCAGAAAGATAGGAAGACTTGCCTGGCATGCAGCTGATCTGGGTTCAGTTCCCAGCACTACATAATAGCCCTTGAGTCCTTCCTGACATGACCCCTGAGCAGAGAACCAGGGTTAAGCCCTGAGCACTGCTGGGTGTGGTTAAAAAAAAAAATAAAACAGAAACAAAATGATGTCCTTTTTCTAGTCTCACAAAGCTGACAACTCAAAATTGATGCTCAATAAATAGTTCAAAAAATATTAATGACTCTTCTTTTCTCCTCTTTTAATCTCCTTGAACCTTACTACTCTGATAGGTGTAATGGAAGAAGTTCCAAAGTCAGAATTACCTTTCAGAAATTCTTTAATCTATCCACTCCTTGGCCTAGTGAAAATACATAGTTTGGGGCATAAGCCCCACAGAGTAATGCACATTAAAGCATGGGTGACAGTGAACTAGAGTAGACAAAGTCTACAGAAATGTTTATATGTGTATGTCAAAGTGTTTGAACTTTATTTTTAACCTGGGAGGTGGTATGGTGGCATTAGGCCTCACATGACAGTGTTTAGTGGCAGGGATAGTCGGAGCTGTTGCATGCAAAGCATGCCCTCCAGTCTATTGGGATATGTCTTTGGCCTAGTATTTTAACTCTTTATTTTTTGTGAAGGGTGAAGAAGCAAGGGCTGGCAGTGCTCAGATCTTAACTTCAGTTGCTCTGCACACCTCTGGTGGGGTTTGCAGCCCCATCCATATGGGGTACGAGGGATTGAACCTGGGTCAGCCTCATGCAGGGCAAGTGCCCAATTGACTGTATTATTTCTCCAGCCCAGAAGGTAACTCCATTGTAGGAGGATTCTAGGCAACCTTTTAGGTTTGAGCTCTTTTATCTCTCAGGTAAAGGTTTGTTTCTTGGCTTTACCAGGAAAAGGCTATTAACGTCTTAGTGATTTAAACTAGGTTCAGTTTATTTTTATTATTTGATAAAAATTTTGGGTGGGGGGGGGGGTTCTTTAATGGAGACTTACAGCCACCAGATCTCAGCCCTGCTGCCTGTCTTCCTTCTTTCATGCTTCTCCACCCAGCTTTTGCCAAATATTGGAACTTCATTCTCCTTTCATATTTTCCCCCAGCATACACACTCCTGTCTGTCTCATTCAGTGTGACAATTAAAAGCAGCTACCTTTGCATTCACTTCTGGACCCCAAATCCGTCTTCAGTGTAAATGATCGACTTCACTGAAGCTTCTCCCCAAAAGGGTATTTGGCCGTCTCCTATTTTAGTATATGTGCTGCCAAAGCAAGCACTTGACCTTCTCCTTTCCCCCAGAATCTAGTGGGGATTTTAACTTCTTACTATTCTGGACTTGTTGTCTGTATTTTGCACTAAATCTTTTTTGCTTGGTTGGTTTTGGGGCCATACCTAACTATGCTCGGGGGTCACTTCCATTTGTGCTCTGGGGATGATTTCTGGTGATTGGGATTGAACCCAGGTTAGCTGCATGCAAGACGACCAGCTCACCTGCTCCTGTCTCTCCAGCCTCAGCATCCATGCTTGAAGCATTCTCTTGGCATTCTTTACAGCAGTTTCCATGACACATCTCTCTTCCGATTTCTTTCTCTTTACCTTTGTTGGTGTCTTTCCATTCTCCTATGATCTTCCTTTTTGTCTCTTGTTTCTTTTAAATCTTGGTCTTTCCCACAGTTGATTCCTTTGAGATACTTCCTCATTCCTTCGAAGTTGCGATGTCCAACATTTTTTTTTTTTTATTCCTGGTATAAAGCCCCAAATCCTCCGGCACACCCTGGGTGATGTTCCCATGTGGGTTTTCTTCTTCCTTTCTCTGGTTTTCCTTTCCAACTCTCTGACCAAACGGAAAACTTTTTTTTCTCCTCCAAGAACACTTCTGTTATTCCCCCTACCAACACCCCACTTGTGTAGTCATCCCTCTAGATCAGCCCAGGCATCACTGCTTCAGGAAGACTTTGTCTCGCTTACAGGACTAGGTGAAGTGGTTGAAGTGCATCTGTAGGACTCCCCACCCCACCCTGCTCTCCAGCATCACACTGATGATCACATGATCACACTGTCAGAATGTCTAGTGGGGGCTGGAGCAATACTACAGCAGGGAGAGCGTTTGCCTTGCACATGGCCAGTCTGGGTTCGATCCCTGGCATCCCATGTGGGTCTCCTGAGCACTTCCAGGAGTAAATCCTGAGTACAGAACCAGGAGTAACCCTGAGCATCTCTGGGTGAGACCCTCCCCAAAAAGGGGGGAAAAAATGTTCCATTCACTGATCCTTGTGTCCTTGTGCCATTAGACACAGCGCTTATACAAAGAGGAACCATCTTGGTCACAGTCCTTGGTAAACCCTGTATCTATGTACCTCACACATTGCTTACCAGGCAAACCCTGCCTAAATCGTTATGAAGTGAATGACAGGACTATTTTATTAGCATTTTTCAGACAAAATTTAATGTTTGCTTTATAGTTAGGCCATTGTATCTAGAAAAAGTTGCTTTGAAGAAGTAAAATTATTTTATTTAAAGAAACTTTCTAAATAAAATAATTTAAAAATTATTATAATAGTTTGCAGATAGAAATTTAGCTATCTTATATCGAAATTTCACCAGGTGGTAAATTACAAATCTATATTTTTTCAAATATTTAGGCTGATAACAAAGTAATTTTTAATGCCTAGCGATTCTTTTGCCTTAAAATTAACATCTTATTAAAAATCAAATCAGGGCTGGGGGGATAGTACTTGCCTTGGGTGGTGTACTTAACCTTACAGCCTGGCTCACCTGGGTTCAGTCCCTGTCACCATATGCAATCCCCTAAGACACTGCCAGGAGTGATCTCTGAGCACAGAGCCAGGAATAAGCCCCGAACACTGCCAGGTATGGTCCAAAAACAAAACAAGTCAAAAAAAGGGGAAAAAAAAAGGACATTTTGTTATGGTGAGTCTTTTTATCCACTCAGTTCTAAACTCTTGCTTGTCATTGTTCCACTGAAAGAAAGTTCTTTATATTCTTCACATCAGTGGTGACAATTCTTAAACGTAGTGGCTAGCAAACAGGTAGAACTTCAAGTGCTTGTCATGACTCTGATTTTCATTCCATAAATGGATTCTTATTCAGAATGTCATGGATCAAAGTCCTTAAGAGCTCATTTTACGTCTCTCCTCGAGAAATACTCTGAAATGAAGAGGGACTTTGGCAGCTGCTTGATCTAAAATGAGCGGTGTATGGTTTCTTTGGGGACTTCAGAGTGACTCGGGCTGCTGAGGTCAAGATTTACCCATTTTGCCTTGACTATGCCAACCAAGGGACATCTCTAACCAAACAACCACTGTCTTACTTGCCAGCTCTGGAGCATCTCAGCTTAATTGCCTGGGATTTATACAAGATAAAATTACAGTATGTGCAACAAATGACTCATATCAGGTGACACGAGAAAGAATGACCCAGGCAGAAGAGGAATCCCGAAACCGAAGCGCAAAAGTTATCAAACATGGTGGACCGTATGTAGGTTGGTATAGATTTGTTTTTTTCTTCTTGCTGATTGGAATAATCCGAGATCATTATAGGAAAATACCAGTAATGTTAACTCACTGCAAACACAGAACTTAGTTTTCATAAAGTTTTGGTTAATGAGCAGATGACAAGGTTTTAAGGAACAAATGACATGGCCAGAAGTCCTTTGTTCTCGTTCTTATTTTATTTTGCTTCGTTTGTGTTTTGTTCTTTTTCTGGGCCAAGGATTGAACCCGAGTCCTTTGCACAAGGGTGATGCTGTTCCACTGAGCAGCACCCGCAGTCTGTTCTCTTTATATCGCTGGCCCGCTGAATAGATTGAAATTTTCTCTCTTTCATAAATCCTGAATTTTCTGTTGGCCCTTTATTGCTACTTCACAATACTAGAATCTGGTCTAGTAACTTTATTGCGAGGGATTATAATAGGAGACCTGTTGTATTTCCTTTGTCACGGGCTGGTGTCCCTTCAGTGATGCAGTATCGCTTTGGTTTTGCACTGTGACTTGGGTGATTTTTATAGCCAAAACATATGAGTAGAATTTTTGAGTTCATGACCTCATTGTCACAGGCTGTATTACATTTTCAGAGGATCTCTATAAATAAGAAATTTTTTCTACAGAAGTATTCAGATGTGCTGCTAGCAAAGCATTCGTTTATACCTCAACTGTAAGGTGGTTTGTAGACCTTTTTTCCTCAGCCCCATACTTATCATCAGCCCTTTCAAATATACAAAAAAATCAGACTGAATAGGGAAATAACACTGGCCTTGACCTTAATTTCTTTGTGTGGGTTTTGGTCTGAGGCCACCCGGTGTGGCCGTGCTCTGGTTCTACACCTGGGTTGGTGCTCATGAGTGCTCTGGGGACTCGTGTGTGGTGGCTGCTAATCTGGGCCTCCAGCATACAAAGCATTGCTGAACGGTGTCTGGGGCTCCAGTTTTAGTGGTTTAAAGAGTTGATATTATATTAACCGTTAACCACGGTAGGAAGAATCAGAAAGACTTTTAGAAAAATAAAGATATTTTGCTTCTTAGAACGGGAAAATGTTCTTAAGTGATACTAAAATGCGTAAAATTTAAAAATAGTAAATCTTATCTCATTAAAATGAAACTTCTTTTCTGCTATAGACCCTGATAGGAGAATAAAATAATTGTCTGTAGGTTTAATTAAAAATACTTCCAAACTACCTATCCAATGGCGATATAAAGAGCCAACAAACTACAATAGCAAAAAATAAACAGTCCAGTTTAACAATATGAGAATATGTAAAGAAATTGCATCTGAAGGAGATTGTTCAGTATTTCAGTTGAGTGTTTGTTGGTGATTACAAAGTAAGGCTTAAAAATCCATTGAGTTACTTGCAAGCTAAGTGGCCAATAACTTAATTTCTATCCATTTCTTTATTTGTAAAACAGATACAAGTAGTTTCTATATTCCTATCAGGTTTAACCAAAAGAATATATGCAACCCTACAAAATAAAAGTAATTCTGGTTAAAAAAAAATAGAATTAGAAAGAATGAGGACGAGTTCTTTGAGGCACTGGAGAAGTTTAATAACACAAATCACTCAGTGGTAAATATTGAAAGGATATTTGAAATGCTCACCGAGAAATGATCTAAAAAATAATAATAATAATATTTAAAAAGTCTCCTGATGCACCACATCCCTAATCAGCATCTTTCCATGGTGTGGTCTAATCCTGCTCCTGTTTTCCCATTGCTGACCCAGCTGCAAATTCAGCTCTCAGAAACTCTGCTAGTGCTGCTAATAAGTATTTCTTTGGAACAAAGCCAGTGCTCCTGGGACTTGGTGCTTAGCTTAGATACATTTAGTTTGGTTTAACAACAATTCATGGCTTCCCTGGGTATCTGTACCCCTGGGGCCTGGTTCCCTGCCCAGTAAATTCCCAGCAATAAGATTTTCACCACCCCTTTCCTGCAGAGTGAGGTAACGGCTTTTCAGCCTTCCTTTTTTTCTCACTTCTCTTCAAAACTTCTGCACTTGAGAATCTTAATCTTACTGTTTCTAAGATGCACACTTATATGTATAAAATTCCCTTTCCCTGTTACGAACTACCTTTTTTACTCTTTCCAAAACCACCCATTTATTTATAAACAGCTAGACAACTTGGTATGTCTGAAGGAATTAGAAGACTAAGGCCATTCACATGGGGTTTTTCTTCCCAATCTAACTAGCCGAAAACCTTTAACTTGATCTGTTAGAGAGTGTCCAAGTCCGCAGTTCCTGTACTTTTCCATGAATGTTCCTTGGGCAGCCCCTGCGCTCATGTGCTGTTCTCTGTCTTGTCAAGCACAATTCCTGGGCAGAATTACGAAACAGACAGTTCAGTGCCCACAGCCCCACTGTCCAGCCACTCCCTGGTCTTACTAGGGAAGTTTAAAACTTGCAGAGTTTTGGGGCTGGAGAAATAGGGCCCTTGCTTTGCACATGGCCAACCCAAGTTCGACCCCCGGCACACTCAAGTGCCCTAGAAGTGATCCCTGAGTGCAGGGTCAGGAGTAACCCCTGAGCACTGACAGCTGTGCCCCCCAAACAAAAAATTAATACATTTTAAAAATAAAGCTTGCAGCGTTTCTTACTGATTTGACAGGGAGTCGCTCATTATGAAGTGACCTCATAAACTCTGAGGTAATCGAAGCTTGAGTAGAATTTCATCTCTGCTGTTCCAAGCACAGCTGATTCCCCAATCTCCTTCTGCTGTGCCTGGCTGCTGAGCTGCACAGTCCAAAAGCTGCTATGAACCGCCTCTGCCTTTTATGCTCAAACTCAGATGACATCCAACTCCTTTTATGTCTCTTAGTGGTGCCTGTATCTATCCCTAGAATAATTTTTGTTGCTCTCATCTTTATCTTCAGTTCTTCACCTTAGAATTCAAACCTAGACATTTAGGCGAATCACCCTCTGTTTGTGTGTTTGGATTTGGGTCACTTCCAGGGTGCTTAGGGCTTACTCCTGTACTTAGGGTTTACTCCTGACAGTGCTCAGTGTACCACAGAGGATGCTGGGGATCAAACCCAGGTCAGCCATGTGCAGGGCAAATGCCCTACCCACTGTATGCTCTCTGGCTCCAGACACGCCACTCTTTTAAAATGTCCAGTCAGGCCAAAATGAATCACAGAAGTCCAATACTCCAGGTGGCTCTTCTGTTCGTTCATTCATTTTACTGTTCCTTGCAATGGCTTTTTTAGATCCTTTTCCTTTGAACCTCATCCATTTCCAATCCATTCCAGTGCTTCTTCCAGGTAGTTCAGCATGCATCTTTCTGCTTTTTTCAGTTTATCAAAAGTATCTGATTCAGTAGCTGGAGTGATAGTACAGCAGGGAGGGTGTTTGCCTTGCATGCAGCCAACCCGGTTTCAATCCCCATATCGTCCCCCAAGCACCGCCAGGAGTAACTCCTGAGTGCGCAGCCAGGAGTAACCTCTAAGCATTGCTGGGTGTGACCCAGAAAGAAAAAAGACATTATCTGGTTCATTCGGTCAATTCTTGATCACCTCATCAGTCACCTTTCAAAACCCAGCACTTACTGTTTGGATGCACAAGGCTCCCTTGCTGTTTCACTAGTGGACACTCGTCTAAATTGTGCCCTCACCTTTTGGGGTAGGCTCTGATTACTGCTCTATTTCACATGATGGGTTTGTTGGTATCAGCAAACAGCGAATGACATGCTGGGCCTCATTTAAAAAAAAAAAACTGTGTCCTTTTGTTAAGACAATAGAAGATGCCTCTTGAATTCATAATAGATCAAAATGATACCAAAAGCTCAGCTGTGCTGGCTTAGAAGTACCTGTCGAACAGGGTTCCATTCAGCAGCGTCAGCCTCAGCAAAGGACAGCTGAGACGAATGCTGGCGGTGGCCCAGTGCCAGGCCAGGCCGCTGACAGCTGAATCAGGGCACAGCCCAGCAGAGGGGCTAAAGAGAGCTCCCAAGGCCACCTGGCCTTAGCTCCTGGGACAATGCCTGCTTCTCCCGAACTGTGGATTGGAAGAAACAAAGCAGCTTTGCCCCCAAGACTGCAGGAAAGGGTTTTACCTAGAAAATACTTTCCTCAGCAGCAGTTCTGGCCCTAGTCGGGGCATGTATTTTGGGAGCAAACTCTGTTAGAACGCTTTCCTTTTTTTAGAGAAAACCACTAACTGAATCCATTGGTATCTTAAAACTTCTCAGATTCTACCTGAATTTTGGGTTTTTACTTGAATTGCATATTTTTTTCTTAAAAAAAAATATTTTTATTGGGCCCAGAGCGATAGCACAGCGGGGAAGGCATTTGGCCAACCAGGGTTTGATCCCCGGTATCCCATATGGTCGCCCCAAGCACCGCCAGGAGTAATTCCTAAGTACAGAGCCAGGAGGAACCCCTGAGCATCACCCAAAAAGAAAAAATATATATATTTTTTATTACTGACTTTATTTTTAATATTTTTATTTTATTTTTTTAAATTTTATTAAAGAAGCTTGATTTACGAAGTTATTCATAGTTGGATTCTAGACTTAACTCTGTTCCCGTCTCAATCCCAAACCACCACTGTCTTGTTCCCTCTGAGGTCTCCAGCTTCCCTCCCAGCCACGCGTATTTTTATTCAGGTTAGACGGTCTTAGGCATATGAAGAGACCAGTCTAATTTTAGGGTTCATTGTCTACCTTTGCAGCCCCTGCACCGTCCATCTCATGGGTCAGTTTGGGTCTGAGTGACCTTGAATGCGACTTCATTTCTTTCTCCATTGGAAGAAGGAGGCATTTTCAAGAGCTGATATTCCGGGTCCTGTGCAGTTGGGGAGCGTGTGTGTGCTGGTAGTAAAGCCTTAGGAAATGTGCTCCCCAACCCAGGCGGTAGAGGTGGGTTTCACTGCCGTGGGTCATGTATGTCCTCATGAAAGGCCCCGCCTGTGTTTTGAAGCCTTGGGTGCGTGTTGCCAGGGTTTGGGGCAGGTTCCACAAAGCAGAAAAACAAATGCAGAAGACTCTGGGGTCCCTTCTGTCCCTTTCCCCCCCTTTCTCCCCCAGCCCCCTTCCACGTTCCTTCCCCACCGTCCCTTCCATCGGTTCACCAGGGCCTTAGACAGAGGGGCAGACGCCTTGCACGGTTCACAGTGGGAATGCTAGACGTGGGCTCCTTGTTATGAAACGATTCAGAGATAGTCCCAGAATACCCAGCCCTGTCAGATCCGCCGCTGCTGTTTATATAAGGAGCCCAGGGAATTGATTAGCAGTTGGGTCTGGAAAGAGAATTAGGTTCTCCCAGAGGCTTTATTAAAAAGGCTTTTCTGAGGCAAATGTGAAAGGGGGAAGGGAAAAAAGAGAAGAAGGCCTTTCTTCTGCCCTCTTGGAACCGACTCTGTTCCTGCTTTGCTTCCTTTTCCTCCATGTTTTTCTTTCACCTCTCAGGCCTGTCGCTGCTGGCAACGTGTTGTTTTCTTCACCTGTGGTCTGTCTGACCCGAAGCCAGGGAGGCAACAGGCAAGTGACCTCTGAGTCTTAACTCAAGTCACACCGTGTACCAAGATGACTTTTGCAGCGTTGGAAAGAAATGAGTTGCCCCATGACTAACTCTTTGAAAGAAAAACACAGGTGAAGGTGAAGTGTGCATGTTGGTGGCAGGAGAGGGGTTAGCATGGTGACATGCAGCCGTTTCAGGCCCGGGTGAGAGTCCCACCCATCATGGCCACCTCTCTCAAGGCAGGGGGAGCCCCAAGATGCATCTGCCTTCTAGCTACTTGGGGGAAGGGAGAGGGGAGCCCAGGAGACTGGCACTCCCCCGAGACAGGGCTGAGGCGGGAGGCAGTGTCGCTGCACGAGTGTCTTCTGAAACATGGGGCTGCACTGCCCCTTCTGTCTGGGGTTTTCCTCTGCCCACCTCAAGTCATTCTAAATGGCCATTTGCGGTGTGTTGGAGCTTAAAAAAGACATTTCCTGCCCACCCCCTCCCCAGAGGGATGAGAGGGAAGGACTCCACTTGGGGGAAAACAGAAATGAAACAAGTTTGAAGAGAACAGAAATATGGAATTGATAGCATTTCGCCAAGTGGTGTGACCTTGGCCCTAATGTTTGGTTCAAAGATTCCTATCGAGACCCTAAAAACTGGTGGTATTTCTTAACTCTGTTCCGCTTCTGAAGCGGCGGTTTGGCAAGGTCGCATTGGCTGTGGCAGAAACGTCGCTGTGTCTTTAAGGCAGCTTGCTGGGCAGTGTGGAAAAATATATGTTGATCCTGGCCCCTCTGCTGCCTGCTGGCTTGCTTGGTCTTCTCTCCTCTTGCTGTTCCTCACTTTGACACTTTGCTGGTCACTTCACTTTGCCAGCCAGCATACGCTGACTCAAAGTCACCTTGCCCTGCTCACAATGGAACCTCAAGTCCGGCCTGAAAACCTTTATTTAAAATGGCAGTAACAAACGTCCCACAAAGAAGTCCAAAGAGGAAAGCATGGCTGTTGGTCATAGAAACATGCACAGACTCAGGGAGCACTTTGCATTTGAGCTCATCCCATCACTGCACGCCTCCACTTTCCAGTCCTGGGAGGGAACCGATGCCCGCCCCATCAGGTTTGCCCAGTTTCACCTGAGAGATTCCCAGTGCCCGGCTCTAAGCGCGAGTACTGTTCTCCACGTAATTGTTCCAGAATAAATAGTCATGCCCTGCCCATCTGGTACAGCCAAGCTATCTCTGAATGAAGAAAACTACCGAAAGCTATCTATAAGTCTAAAACCTCCATCTGTCTCTCAACCTCTAATTGCCCCTTGATCTAATCGCTCTTCTTATCATCAGGCAATGTCCCTGTAATGTTAAGTTCCTTTGTTGTGCAATACTTTGATCTGATATTTGCCATTGGTTAAGTGCAGAGTGTCCAGAAGTTCAGGAGCCAATGAAATCATTTGTCTCTTCGCATCTGTGCCAGGAAGAATGGTGTCAGACAAGCAACCCAGTTGGCCTGGCTGTGGGAGCACCTGAACAGACAGAACATCCATTTAGTAAAACTCCTGCCCTTTTAGGTTATTTACCTCAATACCTAAAGCTGTTCAGACTTATCCAAGTCTCCTTGGCAACTGGTTCTTGTCCTGAAACCATCTGCCTTGCACCGGATCCCGTCTTTTCTTTCTCCTCATTAACTAGAAAGTAAGACTGGGGGTCTTTGACTATATTAAATGAATTGTAAGGTTCTGTTTCAGGAACAAAAAATCCATTCGGTTCCATTCTAGCTTCTGTTTCCACAATACGGAATGATTACCCAGTGCCAGTGGCCAGCCCTGTCCTCATAACTTTAAATATCTACACAGTATCTGGGTTACTCCAATTTACAATCTTTTCTAAAAGTTGCCACTTGCCGAACACTTGTCCCTGTTAAGTGTAAGCAAAAAAAAAGGTGGGTTAGTGGTATGAAGGACATCAGCCCGTGCGGAAATGGTGTGAAGGCCTTTACACTACTTTCCACACCTCTGGCTATTCCAAACTCTCAGCACTGCAGAGATCCACTAATCTGCTCCACAGAGAGTGTCTGATGGCTTAGTGGGTTTTGCATTTTGGTTTGGAGTTAGGTTGGTTTGGTTGACAGAGATTGGTGGTGGGGATGTTGGCTTTGGGCCACACCTGGTGATGCTCAGGGGTTACTCCTGGCTCTGCATTCAGGAAGGACTCCTGGAAGTGCTCAAGGGACCATATGGAATGCTGGGATTGAACCGGTTGGCCTAATGCAAGGCAAACGCCCTCCTGGTGTACTATTGCTCTGGCCCTGTTTGGTTGGTTTTATTGTTATTGTTGTTTTTGTTGTTGTTGATGTTATGCTGTAATATGCTTTGACCTATTGAAAGGGAATATTGCTAGTAGATTTTCTTCTGAAAGTTAACCTCAAATTATACCTGACTCTTTTTGTAGTTCCTGAGTCTGTGAAATTATTACATGATGCCTTTATGCAACAAAGCATATGGTCTTAGTGAAGTAGGATAGGTACTTCTGCCATTTCCCATGTTTACTCTCTTTATATCTGCCAAATAAATGATGTAGGGTATGTATATTTAAGTTTAGTACAAAACACAGGTGAGCATAGAAATAATTATTTCCCCTTAACATCAAATACCTAGAACCTCAGGTTTTCTGGTCTGTTGCTCTGCTATTGTCTCTGATTATATTGCACATAGGTGACTGAAATACTTCCATAACACTTACCAAGCCAACAGATGAGTCCATGGAAAACAGTGAAATTTTAGCCATTGATTTAGAAGACTGGCATTTGATCTCTTTTTTACGTAAAAACTGGGGTCAGGAGCTAGTGCAGCAGTTAGGGTGTGCGCCATTAGCAAGGTTCGATTCCCCTTGATGCATGGTTTCCCCCTGGCACTGCCACATGCCCTGGAGCCCACCAGCACTGACCGACAGGGTGACCAGGTGTCCCCAGCACTGCTTGGCCAGAGCAGTATTGCACCCTCTGGCCCTTGCACCAAACCAGTGGCCAGTTGGCTGTGAATGCTGGTGCCCCCTCAACCTCTTGAACACTGCTTGGGAGGCCCAATAATTATTTTAAAATAAATCAGGGGGACACTAAAGTAAGTTGCCTCTATTCTCTCCAGAAATGAAGCACCTGACTCAGAGTTGTGGACACTGAGGTCTTCATTCTCTGCAAGTGGCAGTAATATCGTTTCCATTGTGCCTTTAGGGAAGAGAGTGCAGATTCGCAAGGCACCGCAAGCTGTTTCGGATGCGGTTCCTGAGAGGAAGAGGTCGACCCCCATGAACCCTGCAAATACTATTCGAAAGACACACAGCAGCAATAGTGTTTCCCAGAGGCCCTACAGGGACAGGGTGATCCACTTACTGGCACTGAAGGCCTACAAGAAACCGGAGTTACTGGCACGACTGCAGAAAGATGGTGTCAATCAAAAAGACAAGAACTCCCTAGGAGCAATCCTGCAACAGGTGAGGACTGCCTGCCTGCTCAAGTTGAAAAGTTCATCTGAGAAAGCTCAGAACTGCTGCTCTTGTTAAGGCAAAGACATTTCTGGATTATTTCCATCCACGGAATAGGGGCTATAATACTGAATATTGATTTATTCATTCATAGGAATTAATCAAAATATGGGTGACTTATATTGGGTTTTAGAAGTTAGAGGCTCCCGAATGGCTCAGCACAAATCTCAAGTTTCAAGACACTGTCTATATTTGGATTAAACAAATTTTGCCCTGAAATCCCATTAGAAAAGTAAGCGAGACATTTTTATTGTCTGCTTTTAATAATGACTCACCTAAGCCACTGCTGCTTTTTTTATTGGTTTATAGGGGTGAAGTTGTGCAATGTATTTTATTGGTATAAGCTAGAAAAATTTTTATCCAATAAATAGTTTTAGGTTGTGTCTTGCCCTGCATACTCTTTGCTGCCTATACTACTCTGCCTTTTACTATCATTGAGTATGTTGAGATCAGTCACTTTTCCCCTTTACATATGAATATATAAAATTTGTGCGCTGATTAATTACCTTATAATCACAAACCTACGTACAAAAAGTAGGTCATTCATTTTGTGAAAGTCAGTAGTTTGTCCTGCTGTAACTGCCCACGTTTATTCTGACTTTGGGTCATACAAGTTGATGAGTATTCAGTGTATTCCTAAATGACAATCTAGCTGTTTTGCTTTTATTCTTTGATTTGTTGATTTTGGGGGTCAGACATAGCTGTGCTCAGGGTTTATCCTGACTCTGAGCTCAGGGATCATGCCTGGTGATGCTCAGGGGTTGAACCTGGATCAGCTACAGGCCAGGCTCTTGCCCACTGCACTGTCTCTCCGGGCCCCTATTTTTTTCTCTCATTCCTTCAAAACATCACACTTCCAAAGTTGTTCTTAAATTCATCTCTTAAAACGTAAAAATTGCTGATTTTTACCTAAACACCAGGAATGATGCTTCAAAGTTTTGCTTTTTTTTTTTTTCATGTTTTCTCTCACATTCAAGACATAAATTCTGGATTAATCCCCAAGTTATCACAGTCAATCTTAAGGATCTTTAGAAAACAATTTTTTTTAATTTAGGCACTGCCATGTGCAATACTGTTTATAATAAAATTTAAGGCATACAACGTTCCACAACGCACTCACCATCACCACCAGAGTGTCAGCATCCCTCAACCGAGTCTCCAAGTTCCCTCTCACCCACCCCACAGCTTCTTGATAAACTCACTTTTATAGACTGACTCTCAAGGACCTTTTTATTCCCTTAATTGAGTTTCTTTATAATCTACACCTAAGAAAGATCATTCTGTATTGGGCCTTCTCCTCCTGACTGAGGAGAAGGAATTCCATCCACATAGCAGCAAATTGCTTGATTTCATCGTTTCTTATAGCTGAGTAGTATTTCATTATGTATATATACCATGGGGGGAGGGGGGTCTCGGTTTTGTTTTCTATCCAGTCATCTTTCTTAGGGCACTTGGTTTGACTCCAGATCTTGGCTATGGTGGATAGTGCTGCCAGTGAACATAGAACAAATGTCTTTTCAAATGTCTTTTGTGCCCTTGGGATAGGTGCCAAAAAGTGGAATTGCTGGGTCATATAGATGATCAACACTTTATAAGTTTCTGAGAAGTGTCTATACTGTTTTCTTTAGAAGGTGAACCAGGTGACATACTCACCAACAGTAGATGAGGGTTCCTAGGAAACAATTTAAAACTCTATGTCACATGGCAGTTTTAAGAGCTTAGAGACAAGATGAAAGAAAGAATGAGGGTGTGTGTTCAACCATTTGTTTGATCAAAGGGGAAGTTCAGGTTATGAATCACAAAATATGTGGTGGCTGAATCTTCAGAAGGTTGTAAAGTACTTCCTAGGTTAAAGGATGAGACTGCAAAATGATGGCAGAGGGAATGCATAGAAGCTGCTACTGATTTGTGTCTGTAGTTATGTGATTATATACGCCTAGGCACAAATATTTTTTAATGTGTGTGGACTGAAATTCTGACATGAATGTAATTAGATTCTCCATTTGGTATGATCAGAATAATCTCACCCTGCCTGCTATTAGAATCACCCAGAGAGTGTGTCTCAACCAGGCCCCAACTTATTCCAAATGGGTCACAAGTGAGAATAACATAAATGGGGAGCCAGGGGAGGGGGAGAGAAAGCAACTTGGTAGGATGGTGGAAGGGGAGGAGCACAAGGAAGAAACACGGTTGGAAAGTGTCCGTAGTCGGAAAAAGGTTGGAAACTGCACTAACCCATAACCAGATGACACAGGGCAATGGAGTGGACACTGAGCCATTGACAGGAAAAGGGGAGAGATGGAAAGTGAGCAAGTATTTGGGCAAGAGAGAATCAGAAATTCTATCTTCCATCATAGATTCTGTTTAAAAACTGCCTGTTAGATTCAAACGGAAGAGATGTTCAAGAGACACACGCGCACACGCACGCGCGCACACGAATTTGATGTTTAGAAGACAGTTGGAGCTGAAGATCTACATTAAGGAGTGGCATGTAGATTGGATGGGCTGGAGCGATAGCACAGCGGGTAGGGCATTCGCCTTACACGTGGCCAACATGGCCGACCCAAGTTCGATTCCTCTGCCCCTCTCGGAGAGCCCGGCAAGCTACCGAGAGTATTCGATGTGCCAGACACAGTAACAACAAAGTCTCCAATGGAGACGTTACTGGGCCCGCTCGAGCAAATCGACGATCAACGGGAGGGCCTTTACCTTTTTTTTTTTTTATATGTAGATTGGATATTGAAGACCTAGCTAGTAAAATAGTAAAACTCACTCCCAGTGAGAGGTTGGAGAAATAACCTTAGGAGGGGAATAGGATAATGAAAACAAGAGAGAAGATAGATATTGAGCACTCTAGCAAAGAGGAATATGCAAAAGAGACAAGAAAAAGTCATCCTGGGGAACATAGAGATAGTACAGGGTGGTCTTTGCCTTGCATGTGACCGACCTTGCTAGGATCTGGCCCCCTAAATACCACTATGAGTGACCCCTGGTACAGAACCAGGCATTAGCCCTTGAGCACAGCCAGGCACGGTCCAGACCACCCCCGCCTAACCCCCACCCCCTCCCAATCCATCCTGAGGGGGAAGTCAGCACAGGGCCTGATTAGAAAAGCAGAGAAAAGCCTGGTGCTATTAGTATGTGGAGTGCCAGATCCTAGGAAAACGGCAACAGGTAATCTCAGGATCATTGTATTTATGCCTTCAAGAATTTGGTTGTATCTTTATTTATAAAATTAAATTTTCAGGTGAGCCTTCCATTTTTCTCTTTGAGAACAATAACAGTAGATTAGCATGCAGTTTATGGAAAAAAAAACAACAACCATAGTATGTGAAATAGTACTTTTAAAATAAACAGACTTTCATCTTTAAAAATACTCTTGGTAGGAATTAACACAAGGAGTATCTACCTACAGGCTTTAGAAATTGCTCTGAAATCTATACATTTTGTGTTGGCATGGTATCTACGTTTGGACAGTAGATATTATAATTAAAGGATAAGATTATACTTGGAAATCAACTGTCTAATAATAGTTATTTGAGGGTTATTTTGGTCTATGTTCTAATTTACAGATTTAGGGAAGCTATAAAGGCTTTGAGTAAGTGTTTTTTCAGGAGAAATGGCAGGTACGAGGAACAAACTTACCTATCTGAGAAAATGACAGGCACAGTTATCTGAATTGATACTCAGTGTGGAGATCATTTCTGTTGACGACCGAAGGGAAAGTGTCTGCCATATTTGGGCATTATTTGGATTTTTCTTCATATAAGAGACTAAAGATTTTTTTTGAAAAAAATTTTTTATTGAGATACTGGGATTTACAATACTGTTAATCACACTTTTCATGCACACATCATTCCAACACCTTGGCCAGCAACAGAAAATCCAGTTCCCTCATTCAATATCCCAAGGACTCTTGCCACACCCACTCACCCAATGTAAACTCAGTTCTATAGATAAAATCTTCAGTTCTGATGACTTAGACCATTTGTTGTTCCTCTACTCTTTCTTTTCTGAGACTAAAGATTTTTATTCTCATTCCAAAGTAATGGAGTTAATGACCAGAAATAAACAGTAAAAGTATTCACATAACTGAGGTCTCTTTGACTATAAAAAAAAAATTATTAAAAAAAAGAAAGAAAAACAGAATTTCTGTCCCTTTTATTTCCCCTACTGTGGCTTAATGCTTGATTAGATAATCTGACACACATGCAGTAGCCGTTCAGGGGTGGACTACTTAACCACACATACAAAGTTCTGACGCCTCCAATGAAGTGGGATAGCAATTGTTGAGCTCTGTCTGATAGCAGTTCCTTGGGCCTGTTGGTGTGTTTCACTGGAAATTCAAATCAGAAGCTACCTGTTATAGACTCAGAAATAGCAGGAGGGGAAATCTAATGCTCTGTTTTCACTCTGTGTATTAGGTAGCCAATCTGAACCCTAAGGACCTCTCCTATACGTTAAAGGATTATGTGTTCAAAGAGCTTCAGAGAGACTGGCCAGGATACAGTGACTTGGACAGACGTGCATTAGAGTCAGCTCTCTCTAGGTAAATTCTCTGCGTCCTTGTTTCCCCTTCAACAATGATGCAAGAAGGTCATTGTTGCGCTCTCTGTGCTCTTGGTACTAAGACTCAAAAAAGGAAGCATGGGTCAGCATTCCATCATGAGCGCTGAGAAAAGCCGTCCCTAACTGGATCCCGTATGTCATTCACAGAAAACTAAATCCATCTCAGAATGCTGCCAGCACCAGCCGCTCCGAGTCTCCTGTATGTTCCAGTAGAGACACTGCGTCTTCTCCTCAGGTATTTCATGAAATTGTCTAGTCATAGGCCGGAAATAGCTGTTCCGGGACTTCTAGGTCAGGCCCTCTGATCTGTGGCCAGGGAAAGACGTGTAGAGCTTGCCCGCCTCAAGCCACAAAGCTAGTTCATGGCCAAGATTGATGGAGAATTCAGGTCTCTGCTTCCAGCCCAGAATCTTTCCCACCACGGAACACTGCTGATCAAGTGTCTGCTTGCTTTTTCATCTTTGAATTTTATTATGGGGTGCTAGGGTGACAGTACACAGTGAGTTGGGCACTTTTCTTGCACATGGTTAATCTGGGCTAACCCCTGGCACCCCATAGCTTGGCCAGGTAGGAGTGATCCCTGCGCACAGAGCCAGGAGTAAGTCTTGAACACTGCCAGGTGTAGCCCCAAAACTAAAACAAACTTTAAATTTTGTTGGAGGACTATCTACTTTAAAAAAAAAAAGTCTCAGGACTGGGTTCTTTGTTTCAGTATTGAAGGTGTTTGTTATTATTTTTTCCTGTTTTTATGATGAATCATGATATATAGTACTGTGAATGATAATTTCATGCATGCATTGTTCCAACACCACACCCACTACCAGCCTGTCCCTTCCCTAAACTAATGCCACAGGACCTCTCCCCCCTCCCACCCTGCCCCCAGGTGAGCTCAGTTCTGGAACCAAGACTCCAATTCTGTTACCTGTGTTATTTATTGCTTCCTTACTATGTTTCTCATTATCCCATACATGAAAGAGATTATTCTGTCTGTCCCTTTTCTTCTGGATGACTTTACTCAGCCTTTTACCTTCTAGTTCCATCCATGTGACAGCAAATTGCATGGTTTCATCATGGCGTATAGCTGAGTAATTGTCTGTTGTATAAATGTGCCATAGTTGCTTTATCCGGTCATCTGTTCTTGGGCACTTGGGTTGTTCCCAGAACTTAGCTGTTGTGAAAACTGCTGCAATGAACATAGGGGTGTACATGTCTTTTCGAAATAGTGTTTTGGGTCCCTGGGTTAGATGCAGAAAAGTGGAATTGCTGTCTCTTGTTGAAGCTCCTGTCTTAGTCTGGAGAAGAGTATCCAGACTGTTTTCCTAAGAGGCGGAAACATTCTCACCAGCAGTGAACGAGGGTCTTTTCCCCAATTCCTCAGCAGCACTGATTTTTTTTTCCCCTGTTCTTTTTTCTGTGTGTGCCAATCTGACTGGTGTGAGGTGAGAAGATAATTACCTTTATCCAAACATATTCTGCACAAATAAATTCTTGAGGAAAATATTTTTATAATAAGCAGATAAGCAAATCCTTCCATTCTCACATGTTTCCTTAAAGTGCTTTCAATTAGATTCTAACCAGACAACTCCAGTCAATTTCCATTACAGTTTGGGGCCTCCCCTAGAGACTCAGCCCATCCTGAGGAAAAGCAGAACAACCCTGAGTAGTAGAGAGACCCTGAGTTCCAGGTCACATGGTTCTCCGAGGACACAGCCAGATTTCAACTCTAGATATCCTGGGTCTCTGGCACTTAGAGTACAGCACATTTTTCCACCTTAGCACTGCATTAATTCTACATCATTTTTTACGACCCTGTTAAGAATAGGAAGTGTGTTTTCTCTGGACTTGCTTCCCAAGGCTTAGGAAGAAGGGACAGACACGAAGCAAGAGAAGTCAGCATGCCCTGGGCTAAAGGCTGTGCGCATGTCTGAAAATGTTCGACATCTCTCAGCCATCTCTCCCTGTCTTTGGGGAAGCAGCCACAGCAGCAACATATAAGTAGTTCTGCCCTGGCCCTTGCACACACATTGTAGACACCTGGCTTTAATGCCAGCACCGTTAATGCTCAGATCTAATTGTACACTAGCTGCTGAACTGAAGACAGAATAAATTCATGGGACGGTTAACTCTGACTTCCGGGCAAAATTAGAAGTCACAGTTATGACATTGCCATGTACATTCTGTGCTTCTTCTCAGTTGTGAATTTTCTTTTTAATTCAAATACTGTAATTGTTGCCAGCTGAGGTAATATTAGCATGGAAATATATTTTTTAAGTTTTTAAAACTAATTCTACATCATTTCTATGGCTCTACGGACCAATTATAAAGACTTATTTTTTAGTCCAGTAATTCAGGGGTTGTACTTGATCACATTTCAGCAGTGATTGTGGGACTTAGAGAAATCCCTCTGAAGGCACTGCTATTCCCTTCTGAAGATACGGGCCAAAACAACTGACAGTGCAGTATCCCTGTCTGGAGCATTAAATACACACATGCTTCTTGTCCCTTACCCACTCGTGTTAGTGTTTACAGAGTGAAGTATAGCAAGCCACATTCTCCTCTCACCCGTTCCACCTGGCCAGCTGTGCCAACAAGGGGAGGAGAACCCCACTGTGACACTTCCTCGGAGTGGTGGGAGCCATTATAAACTGGCATAACCACTTGCCACGAATTTGGGGTGAGGCTGAATGATCAGAAAGCATAAATTCGCCTTTTTTTTTTTTTTCAAAAAAGAAATGTATGTTTTGCCAGATTATCTTTCTACATGAGAAAATCAATTTCCATGTGACGGTTTGTGGTGCATTTGTTTTTGCTTTAACTTGGAGGGGAGGGAAGACAAACCAGAAGGGAGATTGAAGTCTCAGTGACACCATTGTTCATATGGTCACGGTCAAGCGTATGCTCAAGTTTGGTGACACTGGCTTGGTTTTTGTTTCTCTTCCCTCTCCCCCCCCACCCCCCCCCCCCCCCCCCCAGAAACGGCCCGTAGATTCAGATTTCATCGATCCTTTGATGAGTAAAAAAGCTCGGATATCTCACCTGACAAATAGAGTGCCGCCAACTCTGAATCCCACCAGTGAGAAGCTGGGTGCGGGTCTGCCGCCGCCCCCAGTAGCCGCTGCTATCCCCAGCCCCCCGCCGCTGCCTTGTACCCACCTGCCCGTCTCCAACCCTCCCCAGACTGTCGACTCCAACTCCAATTCCCCCAGCACTCCAGAAGGCCGGGGGACTCAAGACCTGCCCGTTGACAGTTTCAGTCAAAATGGTAGCATCTATGAGGACCAGCAAGACAAATATACCTCTAGGACTTCTCTGGACACCTCAGCCCCCAGCTCGGATCTCCTCAAGTGTCCAAAGCCTACGGAAGAAAACCATTCGTCGTCTCACAAAAAGTCCAAAAAGAAGTCTAAAAAACACAAGGAGAAGGACCAAATCAAAAAGCACGGCATTGAGATGATGGAGGAAACGGAAGAGGATCCCGAAAGAGAAGAGGAAGTTGCCAAGCTCAGCGATGCCAGTCCAGACTCCAGTGAAGGTATCTGGTCCCGGTTCAAGTCCACAGACTCCCTTAGCGAGCGGGAAGGTGGGCTTAGGAGTGAGCGGGTATGCTTTCAGGATTCCTGGCGTCTTCTCATCTTTTTTCTGTCCTTTGACCTCCAGGGTAGTCAGCATGTCAGAACTGTGCTCTGGAGCAGGTTTCTTCCCCTTGCATTTTGAAGTAGTCTTTTTTTTAGCCAGCCCTTGAACTTGGCATTTGCCTGTTAATGGTCTGCTGTTCTTTGAGGATGTCCCGTCCCCCCAGAGGTAGGCTTGCGGCTCTTTTCCCAACAGGAGCCCAGCTTCGATTCTCAAAATCAGTTAAAGTGATGACAAAAGAACGGCCTGTGGTTGATGATCCTCAAGCTGATTTAACCCGGCACACAGCAATAAAAAGAATCATTTCCTTCTTTGCCAAAGAAAACAGGGTCACCTTTGATTTAATGGATATTAGCGCAGGGGAAATGCCGTTTTTAATAAAAACAGGCAAGGTGAAATTACATCAGCAAGGCCATAGCGTTATCTTCCGTCAGAGTGGAGACAGCTTGACTTTAGCAGTGCTATAGCTGTCCTATTAGTTTGCTCTCTCTTAAGACTTTTTCCCCCTGAATTTTGAGAACCTTGTTTTAATCAATTGGTATCGATTCCCGTTAGTAAAATTAAATTGTTCAAGCTTTGGCAGCTTTAAAAGCCAAATACCATGGGATAGAGCAAGACTACAGCAGTTGGGTGTTTGCCTTGCACACCGCCAAGCCAGCTTCCATCCCCAGCGTCCTCTATGGTCCCCTGAGCACCAGGAAGAGTAATTCCTCAGTGTAGAGCCAGGAGTAACCCGAAGCACTGCCGGGTATGGATCCCAAAAACAAATAATTAAAATAAATAAAAGCTGAATGTCCAGCAAGTCTAAAATGCTTAAGCTAAGATTTCACCTCTAAGGAAAAGCTAATCAGTAGGAAGACTGCTGACCCGGTGGTGTAGTCACCTTTAAAAGCCAGCAATAAATTAGATTTTTCTTATTTTTTAAAACTCCAAAACTTGCTGCCTTGCATGCTAGCAAACAGAAGTCCATCAATTTAACATTTCCATTCAAAACCCAGAATAACGAAGGCAAAATTCTCCTTGAAAACACAACTTTAGAAAAGTTACTTTAATGAATGGAGTTTAAAGCAGTGGTTTCCAGCCCTGTTGGCCTGCAGGCCAGCATCAGGTTGCGCCTGGCTAAGGACCAGAGGCTGTGAACCACTCGTTTAAGCAGTGCACCCTTTGTGGGTCTTCTGTTGTCAGCCTTCAATATGATAACGGCAAGACTAGCAGAAAGGCAAAAATGCACTGGCTTAGACTAGCTGAGAATTGCAGTTCAGAGCACACAGATGTAGGTAGAACCTAAAACACAACCCATTAAAAAATAGGACATTTTTATGAAGGGAAAATTAAGGATGCGGTAATGGATCATGAGATCATAGCTGAGGTAACAGATGAGGTCATGAGTGAGGCGATGGTCAGGTGAAGGAGTCACAGAGTCAGAAAAGGTCTGGGGGACTGGGAGGGGGGCACCAAGTAAAAGCAGCAAAGGTTCACTTTCATCAGCTCTTCAGAGAGGAAGTCACCCTTCTTGCTGACTTCTTGGAATGTTGGCAGTGGAGGCCAGTCCATATAAAAACATGCTTCTGATGTGCCTTACCTTGGCTTCATTTAAAATGGCTCAATTTGTCACAGGCTATAACACTGAAAGTCTATGATCCTTAGGTTTAATGAACCATTTTACTATATGGGAGAAGCTTTGATTATAAAGCAGTATGTTGTAATGCACTTATTGACCTGGATTGAGTCTCTCCCGTGTCAAAATACACGTCTTAGAATATTCAGATCAGCATAGTGGCCCAAAGGTATGGGTCTGGCCTCTTCTTTGAGGTGGTGAAACCCCACTCTGAGAGCTTGTAAACCAGTTTCCTGGATGTGCTTGCAATCCTTCCCAGCTGCGGAGGGCCATCCTGAATCGGAGCTGGTGTGGGGAGGACCAGACCCCAATAATAGAGGCAGACCAACCATTAGCAGACTTAGTGTCTGAGTTCTCCACAGAGGGTGCAGTAGCTCTCAGAATCAACTGGGATTATGACAAGAGAGATATTCATACACGGCAGCAATGGGAACTTTGTGGCAAAGGTGAAACCAGGAGATACAACTAATACCTTTTCCTTTAACATATAAGCTGTGGTAAAAATAATTATTTTATTTCTGGCACATTCAAATGTGTGTATGCACACACACACACACACACACATCCATGAACAATCAGGTCACATTGTCTGCGTGATTTTGTTCAGTAAACTTTACTTTTTAAACCATTAAACCAGGAAATGATCTAAATTCACATTGGTTTCAGCTTGAACCATTTATATGTTTTGCCAGTAGACAGAATCACAGTTTCAGTAATTAGTTTAAGTTGTTGTTAAGTGATTTTTTTTTTCAAATCACGCCAATGCAAAGTCTAAATTGACCTATCTTCTCTGGAAATGTTATATTCCAAAAATTGGACCTTGGAGGGGTTTTCCACTTTCACACAGCGTATTCACTAGCTAGCGGCAGCCTGCTCTGGGTTCTGCAACTCGGCCTCTAAGTATAGAGAAGCCTGTCCTTTTTCCTAGGCTTGCCTTGATGAGGGAAGACTTCGGGGGTCTGACTTTAGTGCCCTTCTCTGTCCCCCTTTTAGAAATCAATGTGCATGATATCCTGAGGGCTAGAAATTAGAGGCGTAGAAGTGGACATTTGAGGATAACTTATCTGAAACTGCTTTAAACTGGTGGGCAAACCTCTTTCCCAGACCCACTGCCCATGGACAAAAAGGACAACAGGAAAACTAGTGCCTGAAGCAATCTGCTACCTGACTTGATGTCTCTTCTGCCTTGTTAGACTCCCATGAAAAGTGATGTTGATGTAAAATTTGTATCTCCCATTGTCTGGCGACATCTGCCACCACGGTCTCTGAATGACTGGGCAGATGCCAGGACCATGGAAAGAATAGAAGAGTGACCTCGCGTTGAGATGGAATTCCTTTCTGGTGCAGACGCTGCCACTGCGGGCGTTTTCAGTGGCCAGCTTTGGTTCTGCTGGCGCTGGTCACTGGCCCCTATTGTCTGTGCTCAATTGCATTCTTTACCCACTGTTGCTTGCTGAGATGGAAGAATAGCATTCGAGGGCAAGTGTTCCAGCTGTTTCTGATCTATTTTAGAATCGGGCATTTTGGAACCAGACGGTTTGGTGAATGCTGCATTTTTCTCTTTTCCTTGGTAGGAGTTAAAGACGACCTCACTGCCGCCACAGAAGCTTCTTCAACCATTGAACTCCCAGATTACTTGATGTAAGTTTCCACGTCTCCCAGTGGGAGAGGGTCTCGTTGAGTTTGATGAGTTCGAGAGCGGCCGCAGATTCTGTTCCCGTCATTTGCAAATCAGAAAACTAAGCCGTTCCCAAAATAGCGCCCTCTAGCCACCCCTGCAATCGAAAGGCTGCCATTAAGCCTGCTGCTCCCACGCCCGCCGGCGTCTGCCTAGCTAGCGGCAGCCTGCTCTGGGTTCTGCAACTCGGCCTCTAAGTATAGAGAAGCCTGTCCTTTTTCCTAGGCTTGCCTTGATGAGGGAAGACTTCGGGGGTCTGACTTTAGTGCCCTTCTCTGTCCCCCTTAAGAGGACAGTATATGGCAGAGCTTCCTCCTCCGCAGTTAATACGGGACAGAGGAGCGATAAGATAGATTGCTTTATATGTAAGCGCAGCCCATGGTCCAGTGAACTTTCAAGAGGAAAGCACGGTGAAATCTGATCTTCTAACCTTGGTAGAACCAGTTGCAATGGTTTTCTTGTTAGGGCAATGCACTGCTAAATGCTGAGCTGGGGACATTTTTGTAACTGGTGATCACAAAAATTATAACGTGGACACATAATTCTAGCTTTTTGACAGACTCCAGGGCTTCCATAAGAAGAAAAGAATTAAGTTGGAAGTGCCTAGAAAAATGGAGAGTGAAAGAGCAGACAGGTCTGACTTCGGACTTGAGCGGATACCAGGAAATGGGGTGCATGCAGGGGGGAAAGTGGGGTCAGGGTCAGGTGTGAACCTCCTTCCCTTCCTGGCAGCACTGATGGGACGAAGTTCAACCAGACTGTTGAGGCATCCCTGTCCCAGAAAGCGGTCCCTTCCCAAGTAGAGAACTTGGTGTCCTAAACGTGTGTTCCTTTGGCAGAGTGGCACCGTGGCAACTACTGGCTGGGGGGCGGCCTGGTTACCCACCTCCCATAATTCAAGGGGCATACAAAACTGGGGTTCTGGCGCTGAGGGAGCTTCACAAGGCCAGCCGCTCTCCCCAGGAATGGCAAGGCAGAGGTCAGAGGGCGCCTGCATCCCCCTTAGGACGGGACCACCCACCAGCAGGAAACCCCTTCGCTAGAGCAGTTCTGGGAGCTGAGCCCTCCTACGCCGATGGTGACATCCTCATTCTGTGACAGAGCTGTGACTCAAATGCAGGACAGGATCTTGCCCTGCTCACCACCCCCCAAGGCATTTGGGCAGTGCCAGCTTCTGTCTGCTTAATCAGCTGATTCTACATTTCAAAGCTTTTTGACAATTTTTTTAAATTTTTTTTTAAATTTTTTTATTTTTTTGCTTTTTGGGTCACACCTGGTGATGCTCAGGGGTTACTCCTGACTCTGCACTCAGGAATTACTGCTGGTGGTGCTCGGAGGACCATATGGGATGCTGGGAATCGAAACCCGGTCAGCCACAAATGCCTTATCCACTGTACTGTCGCTCCAGCCACAGCTGTTCGACAACTTAACTGATCTAAGTGTTGATTCTCCCTAGGTGAATTTCTGTGGGTACACTTTATATTGTGTTTGCTTTTGTTTTTCTGCCTTAAAAAAAAAGTCACAAAAGTACATAGCCTGTGTGATTAGTTTAAGTAAAGGCAATTTATTTGTACCAAGAATGAAGTCTAAGTGCAGCTCTTTCCTAAACAATGGTGAGAAACAGCAAACAGAACACTCACCTTCTCAAAATGCAGACCTTAAACTTTTTTTCCCAGCCTCCAGATGAAAAACAAGATACACTGCAAGACCTTAATCATCAGCCTCTGAATAATTTATACTTCACCTAATTTCTATATAAGAATACTCATGCTATTTGTGGTTGTGAATTGTCCAAGCTTTAAAATTTTATTCCATAACTACATGAGGAACCAACTGTAGGACCAGAAAATTTTTTTTAATTTTTTTATTGAATCACCATGAGATGCGGTTATAAAGCTTCCATGTTTGAGTTTCAGTGATACGCTGATAGACATTCAGTGATATACCCATCCCTCCACCCATGCACATCTTCCACCATCAGTGTCCTCAGTATCCCCCTCACCTCATCCCACCCCTCCCCCTGCCTCTCTGGCAGACAGTCTCCCCCATACTCTTCTGTATTGCTTGTTATGAATAGCATAAGATGTCACGTCTCCTCAGGAGCAGCTGCGCGTGCCTGGAATTCTAAAATTTTAGATAATTAGGGTCTGGAGAAATCTCTGCAGCGAGCTGCTCGGTTCCGAGGTTCTTTTGTGTGTCTCTGGTTCATGGCCATTAAGGAACTTAACTAGCAGCCAGAGACAGTTTGTAAGCATGACCCCCAGGGTCCCATGGGGAGAGGGGGGATGAGAAGGACCAGCCCATTCCTTATCCCTTGAGGCCTGGAGTTTGCCATCGCTGAGCCCAGGTACCTGTACTTCTCATTGGGTTCTGGAAGTTGGAGACCGCCAGGATTCTTAGGGGTCAGGTGGAGGGATGGCACCTACCCCCGTCTGAGGCACCCAGGTGAAGTAGGCCTGGCTTAAAGTCCGGAGGCATCTCTGCAGCAAGCTGCTCGGTTCTGAGATTCTTGTTTGTGTCCAAATTTTTTGTTTCAAATAGAGAAATGCCCCTTAATTAAAATGCCAGTGTAGAGGCCCAAGCGATAGTATAGTGGGTCAGACACTTGTCTTGCACATGGCCAAACTGGTCCTATCCCTAGGAGCCCATGAGCCCCACCAGGAGTGATCCTGAGCAGAGAGCCAGGAATAAGCACTTAGCACTACTGGGTGTGCCCCCCCCAAAAAAAAAACAAAAAACAATAATAACAAAAATGCCTATGTAACTAATCCTCTATATTAGCCACAGAATTACAGGCCAGTTTGGTGTTTTCCCCTAAGGAAATTAAGGAGTAGTAAAGTATCAAGATGTGGCCTCTGGTGTGGAGAAAATGGGATCAGTATCTCTATAACAAATTGAACCTGAGATTTGCTTTTCTGTACTGATCCCCAGGAACCTTCTGCCTGTGGGTCCCTGTTAGGGGTGACTGTCTGGGGGAGGGTTCATGACTAGGATGACAGTCAGTTCCTAGCTATCCGTGTCACTTGGGCTACGAAACCTCCACAGTCATGCTCAGCCTGAAACAGAATGCTAATAAGGACAGGACAGTGGTTTGCTGCATGACTTTCCTCCCATTTCTAACGCCAGGCACCTACCCTGTTCCATTTTAACGCTAAGATTCTCTAAAGATCTTTCGAGCTTTCTCTTCCCCTCCTTACTCCCTACCACTTTGGAGAAGAACAAACTCAAGTTTTCCCCAAGCTTCCCCTGAAATCTCCTTCCACCTGCTAGAAACGCTTTGAAGTCTCCATGTTCATTCCAAGAACCTGGTGTTCCAGAGTGGGAACTCCGAGTACAGAGATTCAGGACAGACTAGTGCGACTCCTGCTCCCTGAGTCACAGCCAAACAATAGTGACTTTGCTTTAACATTAAAAACAATGCTGTTTCTGTTTAAGGACCAGAGAAAAGTCCTTATATGGAGGGGTTCGCACCCTGGAGAAAAGAAAGTGATTCCAGGTGGGGGGCGGAAGGCCAGAGAGTCTAGAAGTGGCACAGGGTCCTTGTGGAGAGGCAGTAACTGTCACAGATAGAAAGTACAAGACACATGGTACCTGGCCTAAGACGGAGGGAGGGAGGGAGGGAGGGAGGTGGGGGGAGGGAAGAAGGGAAGGAGAAAGGGGGGGAGAGGGAGGGAAGGGAAAGAAAGGAAAGGCAAGTGATGGCAAAGCCAACCCCAGCAAAGGGAAGGGAAGGGAAGGGGAGGGGAGGGGAGGGGAGGGGGAAGGCCCGCCCAACCCCAGCACTGGCTTTCTATGATGCTGAAGCCTTTGACTGAAGCTGAGGAGCACACCCCTTGCTCCTCTCCTCCCTGGTGTCCTGAGAAATGTGCCCCATGTTACTTTCTACATTTGTCAGTTGGGAATGTGGAGGAGAAGCTGACAGACGAGCCGGGCTCTTGACTGGCAGTGGGCACAAGTGGCACAAAGGCCGCACCTGTCCCTAGATGCTACCTGTTTGGTGCCATCCCAGTGACAAGGGGATCAGCCCCTGCCTCCACCGGGTAGTGGTTCGTTGGGCCAGAGAGCAGCCCCAGGGGCCCGTCTGCGCCATTTCCTTGGCACAGAGTCACACTTTCCATGCTGGGCCTCGCCACTCTCCTTCAGGGTCTTCGCTGGAGGGTGCAGAGCAGCACCTGTCCCACCCGGAGAATATCCCCAGCACCTGGGGGAAACCTCCCAGCCTTTCCGCTCAGCTTCTTTTCTGTCACTCTCACTCATTTACCTCTCTCCTCTTTTTCTTTCTTACCAGAAAATACATCGCCATCGTCTCCTATGAGCAAAGGCAGAATTACAAGGATGACTTCAACGCAGAGTACGATGAGTACCGGGCGCTGCACGCCAGAATGGAGACGGTGGCCAGGAGATTCATCAAGCTGGACGCGCAGCGGAAGCGCCTGTCTCCTGGTTCCAAAGAGTATCAGGTGAGCGATCCTGCAGCAAGGACTCTGCCTCTAGCTTGCACTCCTGTCTGTCTCCACCCCCAGCTGTCCTCGGACATCTCAGTGGACTCTGCAGCCTGTCCTTTGGCAGCTTCTGCAGCTGCTTCTGCACTTCAGTAAAGAGGAATGAGCGGTGGGCGGAGTAGGGGTAGCAGAGAGACAGGCACAATGGTTAGGGCACTTGCCTTGCACACGGCCAACCAGAGCTCCATCCCCAGTATCCTGTATGTTCCCCCGAACCCTACTAGGAGTGATCCCCGAGTGCAGAGCCAGAAGTTAGCCCTGAGCACTGCCAGGTGTGGCCCCCGAATGAACAAAAATGGTAACTGGGAAAGTAAAACCAGAAAAATTCTTGAAACAGATCTTAGCATAAGTAAACACCATGGCACAATGAACATATTTCTGCCAATAGAAGAAAATGACTGTTTTTACTTAGCACACTATGTGTAGAGAATGCAATTCATGGTATAGACTTGAAAGTTATTTTTAACAGCTCAGTTAGGAATAGGATAAGGAAACTGTAGGTTATCTTAAATAGAAAGGGACCTCTCCTGCATCTGTCAGATATATGAGGAAAGTAATTCCAGCTATTCCAGAGACTGACACTCATAACTTTCTTGCTTTTCTGCTTTAAATGGGGATGCTGATGTAATTGAGAAATGTCACTGGCTGCCTCACTGGACTTGAGTTGTTAGCATTGATCCTTCATGGCCTCACTGGTAGGCACCTTCTCGGCCCGCCACTCTTGTTCCATCTGATAGGAACCTCGTTGAAAATGGATAGGTTTCCCCACAGTAGGGTAGACAGCCCAGAGCTCTGGCCGTCGGGTCACTTTCTCCTCTATTTGTGGATCTTCATCATTTAAATGAGTTGCCCAGAGATGTGGAAGATGACTAGAAAAAGTTGATGTTGGTCGTATAGAAAGTCAGTGAGCTTGTGATTTGGGTTTAGTTTTTTTCTACATAGTAATTGAAGGGCTGGAGAGATAGCACAGCGGTAGGGCATTTGCCTTGCACACAGCCGGCCTGGCCGAGCCAGGTTCGATTCCTCCGCCCCTCTCGGAGAGCCTGGCAAGCTACCGAGAGTATCTTGCCCACACAGCATGCCTGGCAAGCTACCTGTGAAGTATTCGATATGCCAAACACAGTAACAACAAGTCTCACGATGGAAACGTTACTGGGCCTGCTCGAACAAATCGATGAACAACGGGAAGACAGTGCTACAGTGCTAAGTAATTGACTGGTGTTCCATGCTTCTGTTTAAATTAAATGTAATTCCAGGGCCTACAGATGGCCCAAAGGGCTGGAGCACATGCTTTGCATGCATGAGCCCCAGGTTCAAACCCTCGTCACTGCGTGGTCCCCAGAGCACTGCCAGGAATAGCCCTCAAGCACCACCAGGAGTGGCCACCTCGCTACCACAAACAAACTATAATGCCTGAACTATAATGCCAAGGATTGCTTAGTGGCTAAGAGGAGGCCCAGGGTCCAGATTGCCTGGGTTTGATTCCCAGCTCTGCCATTCAGTGCCAGTGCCACCTTGGGCAGAGTTATATAATTGGTCTCAAGATTCCATTCCAGAAAATGAGGTGCTTTGGAGTTGTGCATTTAAGTTCAAAGTGTATTGGGTTGCAGGAGGGCGTGAAGGGACTTGTTGTCTCCTGCAACCACCCAGTTTCCCTTCCTGGAGACACTCAGCACTGATTTCCAGTATATTCCTTTAAAGGTTTGTGTGCTGATAAATTTTCAGTACCTGTATGCGAACCATAATGCCCAAAAGGAAAGAAAGAAAGCAAGAGAGAGAAAGAAAAGTGCTTGCCACAGAGACAGGCTGGGGGTGGGTAGAGTGGGTGTTAGGAGGGATTCTGGGGACATTAGTGATGGAAAAAGTGTACATTGGTAAAGAGAAGGGTGTTGGACATTGTATGGCTGAAACCCATTTATGACACAGCTTTGTAACTGTATCTCATGGTGATTCAATAATAAATGAATAAACAAATTAAAATAAATGAAAGGTTCTGTGTGCATGCAGCTGTTTGTGTGAGATATGTAGACACAGCCAAATTAACATAAATGTATTTCATGTTTGAGTCTAAGACATCATCAATTGACATGACAGCCTATTTTAGTAAGTTAAGTTATTGTCTGATTTCACTAAAATAAGAGATGTGTATCTTAGAAGTATGAATTATTAAAATATAGTAGCATTGTATTTTCCCCTTTTAAACAAATGACAACAGGTTATATAAATCACTATCACTGTATCACTGGCATCCCATTGTTCATTGATTTACTCAAGCAGGTGCCAGTAATGTCTGCATTCGTCCCAGCCTTGAGATTTTAGCAGCCTCTCCTTACTTGTCTTTCCCAATGCTGCCGTATTGGAGGCTCTTCCAGGGTCAGGGGAATGAGACCCATTATTGTTACCGTTTGCTATATACTTTGCTTTTTTAAAGACTAAACAATATTAGGCATCTCAGAGAATTTTTATGTCATTCATAAAATACTCCACCTAGCTCCTGCCTTTCTAATGGACCCATAGTGCTCCTTTGTTTAGATTTATTGATATTTTGCTTTCATTCACTTTTCATATACCTTGTGGTGGGAAGTGGTTGGGCCAGGACCCAACCTAGGGTTTTACCCCTAGGTAAAGCACATGCTCGGCCATGAATAACCTCCTTAGCCCATGCAAACCATTCAACTTTGCTATAACATTAAAGGGTGGGGGGTGGGGGGAGGATGCTGTTTTAATCTACTAACCACTGGGTTGGGGCGGGGGTTAGGGGTTGGGAGCAAACCTGACGCTCAGTAAAGAGCCTCCATTGAAAGCAAACAGCAGTGCTGCAGTGAGTAACCTGTTCATCTCCCTCGGGCATGACAAATCCACAAGAAATGTCTAAAAGCGGAGTCTGTTTGACAGTTTCTATTTTGATAGCAGCTGCCAAATCGCCTTCCTTAAAGACTCGACCAATTAACCTTCCTGCAGTCAGTATTTCCCATTCCGTTGCTGCTGGTGTCGGTGGTTTATATTGCCAGAATAAAAGTAACCCTGACCTCTGCTTTTTATGTTACAGAACATCCATGAAGAAGTTTTACAGGAGTATCAGAAGATCAGGCAGGTCAGTGGCTTCAGTTCTCGTGGTTTTGTGGGGGTTGTTTTTGACTTTTTTTTTTTTTTAGACTGCAACCGGGAAGTGTTATAAATACTGTCATCTAATTCCTTGTTACTTCATTTTTTGCTTTCAATCTGCAGTCGAGTCCCAATTACCATGAAGAAAAATACAGATGCGAGTATCTTCATAACAAGCTGGCTCACATCAAGAGACTCATAGGAGAATTTGACCAGCAGCAAGCGGAGACTCGACACTAGAGCCCAGAAGATGTGAATGAACTTATGCTTATTTATTTAGAATTCCAAATGAGTTGCTCTAAGATTCTAAAAAGTGAAACTTTGCCTGTTAAAAGTTTCAGTATTAGTGAACTTGAGTTACTTTCTTTTTCTTTTTTCCATTTTACTTTGCTTCCTTGTATTTTTGAAGCTGCTTTTTCTGGTCCTTCCCATCCTCTCCTCCCCACACCCAACTTGTGTTTGTCTATAGAAATCATTTCTCTTTAGATATTGGGGATCCAGTGTCTAGAGTTCAGATCACCTTTTTTTCTTTAAAAACTGTGTTTGTCATAAAGTGATTTTTTTTAAGATGTTGGGGATCCAATGTCCACACTTCAAAGTCAATGTGTGTTTAAAAAAAAAACAAAACAAAAAAAAACCAGTAACGTGCAAGGTGAAATGCTTTTGGATAAACATAAGCCTTTTTCTGACCTTTCTTAATGCGAACTCTTTGCCTTAAATGGTAGAATATTTAGAAATTTGCACAAAATACAAAAAAAAAATGAAAACATTGTTTTGGAGGGTTAAAAAATAGAAATGTGTGTGTGCTTGTGTGTGGAGGCCACGCACCAGAATCTCTACAGCCTGACTTGATCTCGGATGGTGAGTCCAGCCTGCAGGTTAACCCCCCACTGCAATGGTTGCCTTAAGGTGTTTGCTAGTCATGTACATAGTGTGGTTGATCATTAGTGACACTGCTTCCCACTCGATTCTGGCAGTGGGCACACACCGTGGCCCCGACCTGTGTGTGTGTGGAGGCGGTGTTGGTGTGAGTGTGTGTGACGGAAAACAAGCTGCTACTCTCAGTAGGCCAAACGCTCAGGTTAAACAACTGACGAGTGTTACTGTAGGTTGTGTTGTTGTTGTTGTCAATTGTCTCTGTCCAATCGCTACTTCTATTGTGGAAGACAAAAAGCATTTCCATTTCAACAGTTTGTCAACTTTATTCATGTTGGGTGAAACTGATGTTCTGAAAAATGAAACAGATCTATAGTTTTGGGGCAAAATTATAAAATTAAACGTGTAGGTTAACCTATTTATATACTGCTATAAAGTATTTTTTGAAGAGAGATATGCAAAGAAGCTATTACCTACATTAAATGTATATTTAAAGATTTTTTTTTTTCATCCTGGGTGCCAGGACTGTAAGAAAAGAACGGATATATTTAACAATAACATACTGTGATTCATCAAACAGCACAAACTTTTCATTTCCTGGAGTTTATCTGTTGATGTTGATTTCAACTATCACTTGTTTTATCATGTGGGAACATAAGTTATGTGGTCACAATTGTGCAGATTTTGAGCTGATGTTGATTCAAGTTGTGTTGTCTCACCGTGTTGTTTTTTCCCAAAGTGCTGCCAACTAAAAAGGGAAGCATTATGTTTACAAATCTGTTCTGAAATGTTTGCCAAAATTTTGGTAGTATCTTTAATAAAGATGTTTGTCTCCAGCATCCAAAAATAAATAAATACCTTTATTGTGTATCACTATAAACCAGAAAACGTGGGTATGTAGAGAACAGAAAGAACACATAGATGAACCTTTTTAAATTTGGAGTTCTAAAATAATGACTGGAAAGATAAAATCATGGTAAAAATATACGGAAGTATATAAGCTGCACAAAGACAGAAACTAAACCCTGTGTACTATAATGCTCTAACATTACTGTGGAAATTTAATTTCTTTGTAGCTTGGCCCTCCGAGGGAATTTTATTTCTTAACAGCATTTTGAGATCCCTGGTACTCTTCCTTTACCTCTAAATTGGTACAATCATTGCTAAATCTTCATTGATTTCGTACTTGCAGTTGAAAAAAATACACTTCAGAAAGGAAACTTCATTTGGGATAGGTTAGGGAGCACCTTTACCATGATACAATCTCCCAAAGGATTTCTCTGTCTGTCTTGGCCTTCTTGTCAAAGATTCCGCACTGCTCTTTGCTGTGAGCATTGTTTCTCCAAAGCATGGTGCTTGGACGTTGCTTCATACAGATTAGACACACAGGGTCTGTTCCTATATCTCTTCATTTTCTGGAATATCCTCTAGGTGACTTGCAGCGCAGCTAAGTGCAAGAACAAGTACAAGTACTAAATCTTGAATTTTCTAAACCTCAAAATCAAACTGAAGTTCAGCTATAGGCCTTTTCTTTCCTCTTCTTTTCTCTTCTTGTTAAACCCATCTCTGCCAGCACATACAATTTATCTGTCCCCACTATGTGACATGAGGCTCCCTCCCACTCAGCACACTGCCAACTCTTCTTTCAAAACTTATTTACAAGCAAACCTTCCAGTTGACCATTAGTCTTTGGGGGTCCTACCCACATGCATCAGCACATCTTCTTGTTTACAAATCGGGTAATAATGGAAGCCGGAGATGCTTATGAGAATTCAGCGTTGCACGCCCATGGACATGAGCACCTACCTAGAAAAGCCTTAACTTAGCTGTTTGCTGTGTGTATCAAACAGAGCCTTGCAAACACTACCGATCAGTTACACGTATGAAATTCCTGATCTCTGAATCTGCTATTACCCAAGGCTATATCCCTTTTGAAGATGGGCATGAGTCTCTTAAATATTTATAATTATTCTTTATCTCCTACTGGAAGATTTTTAGATTCTCTGAAATGTTTGCTTCAGGAATGAACAGCCACATAAGTTTCGTTTACTCTTGTGGATAATTTAGTTTAGTTCTTTGTTTTGTTTTTGAGAGTGGAAAATAGTATTGTCAAGATGAAATCATGAGCTGTGTCCTTTTAAGAAAACTATTTCATCAAATGGTTTGAAGCACTCTGAAGATTTTTACTGATTCCCTTCAGTTAGCTCCAGGTTGAATAAGCGGCGGATTTAAAACCTTAACTTGATGTGTTTGTTTTCCAGTGTGGGGATCTCACCTCTTGTCATACATTTATTTCCCTTGGAATTCTTTAGAGGGGTTAACTTTCATCTCTCTGTATCATTAGATGTTTGCTCTTTCACAAGGCAATTGACATGTACTGTCTGTACCATTGCTTTCCTGCCTTACAGAAATTCAGTATTAATTTTCCTTCATCTCGGATTGATTTTTACCCTTCCTAGGTGTCTTCTTTTCCCTTAAAGTATTTCGCCTGATTTTTTAAGACCGCTCCATGCTTGCATGTCGGAAGCAAGATGTCCAGGTGAGGCTTAGCTGCTACACACTCTCAGCTCTGATGCCCCTCCCCTGCCTCACCCCTTCCACTCGTGCCCCCAGTACTTCTGGAGCTTAGCTAAGACTCTTGAACCAGTTCATTGTCTTTCTAGCAGCGTGAGTGATGAGTCACGGATGCTTGGTGTATGCCTTTACTACCTTTCAAGTTCTTACAGTTTATTACTTGCCTAATTGTTACTAAATCCTTCTCTTAATGTGGATCGGATGGGGGGAAATTATAGCCAGCACTTTGCGAGGAACCTTTTGGGAAAGAATATTAACTGACACTACTAAATGAAGACAACAGAAGACGTTATCAATGTTCTTTGTAACCTGAAAACTGAGTGAAGCGGTGAGGCTCATTTCAAAATATTTTTAAGTGTTAAAAAAAAAAAGGAAAAATATATACACGTACACTGTTTCCTAGTTGTTTGCCCAAACCATGTCAGGACTCTTGAAAGTAAAATGTCACAGGGATTTGTCACTTGTTACTGAGCTCAGAAGCTGTGGTAACCCCTGTTCTACCCCAATTTCAGTTCAATAAAAATGTTAACTTTGCAGTTCTGGTGCTTTTTTTTCCCTTTCTCTCATTTCATAATAAAAGGGCTCCCGATGTCCCGGTGTTATGTGTTCACCTGGGATCCAGATAGCTCTGCAGAAGTGGGGAGGTAGGGGGCCCTGTGGGGAATGGGGGGACCGGAGGAACAGGGTCCCGGCTGCAGGACCCCGTCTGATTACATGCAGTGGTTGCCATCACAGGTATTAAGGGTTTCTTTGTGGCTCCATGGTCTCATTTTTCTTCCCCACAGTCACTTTATCCCCATTTTATAGGCGAGTAAACTGAGATTTGTCTGTCACATGGCCAACCATGGTGGCCCCAGAGCAGCCGGGCAGCCTCTGTCAGCATCCATGTCTGCACTGCCCTTGTCTGTGGTGTCCCTAAGGAGCCAGAACCAATGTCTGCAGAGTCATCATTCCAGAAACCGCACAGCACAGAGAGACTAAACAAGCCCTTTTGATCCAAAGGAGGCTAGCAGGTAGAGGCTGGTTAAGAGCTGATGCACGATTTTCAGTGAGTTATTCTGTCAAAAGGAATCAACTTGAGGGGGAACCAACTGTCTCTTCTTTTGGTTTTGGTGTCGTACCTGACAGTGCTCTGACTTACTTCTGGCCCTGCACTCAGGGATCAGGAACATATGGGGTGCCAAGGATCAAACCCAGGGCGCATACATGCAAGGCAAGCACCTTACCCACAGTACTGTGCCCCCCTGCCCCTGCCCAAAGAAACTTTTCAATGAAAGGCCATCGTGTGTCTATTTTTGAATGTGCTGTCTTTTTATTAGCTTTTTGGGGTCACACCTGGCAATGCATAGGGGTTACTCCTGGCTTTGAACTCAGGAATCACTCCTGGTGGTGCTCAGGGGACCATATGGGATGCCAGGAATTGAACCCGGGTTGGCTGCATTCAAGGCAAACGCCCTACCCACTATCGCTATCGCTCCAGCCCCTTGAATGTGCTGTCAATAGAGGGCTATTTGAGGGTTATTGAAATTGTGCAGGCAGAAAAAGAGCAGGAGACAGTCTTCGACTCCCTTTCTCATAGTACAAGGCTAACATGGAAACAAACACTGGCTCCAGAGAGCCCCATGTTGGAATTTGACACAAGGGCTGTCTTTTAGCCGGGTCCTTGACCTCTGTATCTGTAGATTTTCTGAAGGACCAATAAAGGAGGGAAGAAACACGTGCATTCAGCTTTGGTGCTAAACTTTCAGACACAGCAGTGACTGGTCAGGGTTACAAGGAGCCTCAGGGACAAATGAGGTCCCTGCGTTATCTTTGTACCTTTCCCCCACCCGACGTCTGCCCTTGTCCTCGTTTTTTAACTTCTTCCATCTGCTCTAAAGTGAAAAATAAGAAGTAGGGTCATGGGGAGGTTTCAGTTCTTGTTTGTAGAGCACTTAGAGGTGCCATGGAAATAGCTCTCTTCTCAGCTACAGAGGATTTGTTGAATGCAGTGAGAACTGGTTGAAACCTTGTTTTCCAAGTGACAGTGAGTCTATCTGGACTGATTGAAAACGGAGCAAAGGCAGACAGAGGTTTAGGGTTTCAAGGTGGGGTGTTTGGGTTTGTGTCATTGAATACTAGACCTGCACTTAACCTGTCTCACTGGTTTTACCTTTCTGGAGTTGGACCTGGAGGCCAGCAGGGGCAGTGGGTGGCTCTGATATTTTATGATTGCTTCATTTGGAGTCAGATGGCTTGACTGGGTATGACAGTAGAGATGCGTCATTTTTGACTGGCCGGCCAGGTTGGTTTGTCCTACTGTAACAAATACAGGGCACGCTATGCCCACTCGTGCCACATGGATGGCGAAAACTCCACGAGCAGGGCTGTGAAACGTAGAACCCACAACACTGGCCACCATGTTTGAGTTTTATAGTTGGGGGCCTCTAGGGACCAGGGATGCGGCTCAGTGGTTAGGACACAAGTGTGAGGATCCAGGTTCGACCCCGTCACAAACATCAAGAACAATACCTAGAGCTAGAGAAGTGGCAGGCTGCTTCTTTATCGCTGGGTTTCAGCAGGCTCACAGAGTGCCTCGGATGTGGGAGGTAGCGTGGTTTGCCTGCTCAGGCTACCTCCTATGCTCCCGTTCCCTCCTCCGTTCACACAGGTCTACCCCTGCTTCTCCTGTCCCTGAGTCTTTTTTTTTTCCTCTTTTTGTGTCACACCCAGCCGATGCACAGGGGTTACTCCTGGCTCATGCACTCAGGAATTACTCCTGGCAGTGCTGGAGGGACCGTATGAAACGCTGGGAATTGAACCTGGGTTGGCTGTGTGCAAGGCAAATGCCCTACCCACTGTGCTATCACTCCAGCCCCAGTCCCTGGGTCTTGATCAGAGTCACAGCCCTACCCCCCACCCCACCCCCGCCCCCACAGCTGCACCTTCACACTGTCCCTCACTTAGCTCCTCCACCACTTAAACTGTTTTTCCGAAAGCTCCCCCGAGTCCAGATAACCGTGGGGCAACCGGGCACATGTTCTCCATCTTCCAATTTTCCTGGGTAACGTATCTCAGTTATAATGACAGCCCATTGGTTGATAAATAGGCTCCAGGAGAGTACGGGATCCCCAGTACTTAGCCTTGTGCCTGCTATGCCACAGGGGCTCAAAATGCATTTATCAGCAGACTGAACGTGACAGGCTCTCGGATTTAACCTATGAGGGAGCTTTGCGTTCCAGATGGAGGCTGCTGGCCCGGTCAGGTCGCTGCATGGGGCCACTTTGTCTTCCCAAACTTGTGATTCAGGAACAAGTGGCCAGTGGCAGACTGACTTGACTGTCCCATTTGCCACGATGAGCTAACAGGGCATCTTCAGTAAGAAGCATCTCCTGCAACCCCGGCACTCAGGGGCTCTAGTCACCTGGGATGCAAACATCTAAATGGCCCCTAATGGGTTTGGAATGTCAAATGAAATGGTTTTCAAAGTTCCTTCTATTACTTCTCGTAACTGACAGGTTCTGGTTTCATTTTAGAAGTGATTCTCATTTCCTCTCCTACCTGAGTCTTCAATCGCTTCTCTTCTGCTTCTCAAGCATGGAGAACAGGATTCTAGAAGATAAAGCTGCATTTCCTGTCCCATCTTAAAGCATCTTCGACTTGACATGTCTTTAAATTCAAAGTGTGCTTGTCCTGACATTTATTGTATGTTGGCACTTCTAGGTAGGCATTGGGTGAGTCAGTGAAGGACTTCGGGGCACCAGTAATAACTGAGCTTAGCAGCTGCCACCCACCTTCCAGAGCTGAGAAAGTGAAGGGGTCTCAGGGCCAGCTCGTGGGCACTTGCACACTCTTCCTGGGGCAGAGACCCCAGCACTCACGACTGAAAAATGACACCAGGAACAGGAAGTAGTCAAGTGCCAAACAAGTGCCAAACCAGTGCCTCACTTCTCCCACATCCCTAGCCCTGTGTCAGGCCTCAGTGTCCCCCAAGAAATCCCGCTGGGGGTCCCGGTCTGTCTCGTATAAGCTGAGCAGAGAAAGCTCTACAGTTCAGTGGCCCACCTTGAATGACAGTGCCAACTCAGAGGGAGCTGATGAGCCCTGCAACACTTCCTCAGAGTGTGCTCCTGCTCCTGTCCTATTCTTTCCTTCAGACTTCTCCATGGACCTAACGAGGAAGCTGTCAGTCAGAGCTTGCAGCTGACCTGGTTCCTATGGATTTTTGCACAGAAACTGATTGATTGAACAATAGATTCACAACTCAGATCATCTTAAAGGCTCTGCTCTTGGTTGCTCCGTGCAATAAGTCTCCTCTGAGTCTTTCCAAGTGCCACCTCAGCATCTGTGTCCTCTTGGCTAGCAGTGCGTTAGACAGAGTGCGACGCGCAGCTCTGAGTGTGTTAGACCGAGTGCTGAGGGCTTGGTTTCAGACTCCAGTCTCGCCTTTGACTGCTCGACTAACGCCTGTTTCCAGTTATCTTCGTAGGGAAAGTTTGCTTGCTTTGTTTTTAAAGTCTTCTGGTCTCAGCCCTAAGTGTGTCCTGCCGTCTAGTCACTGGAAGGGGTAGACAATCACCTCAGC